ATAAGCATGGGTAGCCATGAAAAATACAGCATCTAAAAGGCAGCATGTGTTGCACCAAAATGTGTATATTCCTTGTATGAAAATTGGCAATCCTGGTGAACAAGAGCAAAACAGGCTGTAAAATAACTTTATTACAATTTTTTTATTGCTTAAGTTTTTGATCTTTCAAACAAACAAAAAAAAAATATATATATATATATATATATAAACTAACTGTGATGTCCTTGATAGATCAGATGCAAACAGAGTTGGCTTTTGGTTAAAGGGACTAACCGGTGATGGAATCAGGGTAACAGGAAAACAGAAACAGGGTAAGGTCAAATGGGTATATATAGGCGAGACATAGAGAAAGTCAAAAGGTGGGGAAAAAGGTCAGAACATGAACAAGGCCTAAAATGTCCCAAGTCCAAAGGGGTCAGGCTGGAGTTGTAAACGAGAGAACAAAGCAAAAGTCACAAACAAGGAAAACCAATGAAAACAAATGGCTCTGTATTGAACAGGAGGCTGAAACAATGCTTAACAAAGAACCTAAGCTAAAAGCCTGCTTGATACTAACTGTAATAGAACACATGACAAGAGATGTAGGTGAAAGAAATCAGTAATCAGGGGAGGCCGAACATAGAGAGGTGGATTGTACAGAGTCCGGAGTCAGGTGACCTCCCAGAGGATTCTAGGAGTTGGAGTTCGCAACGGAGTGAGGATCAGAGGTTTCATTGGAGCCAGGGAGAAGCATGACAGTATACCCCCCGCCCCGAACCACCCACATGACCGGAGGGACTGGAAGAGCGACCCCTGGACAGATGTGGACTCACAGGAAGGAACCTCTCACTCCTTTACTGCAGCTGTCTTCAGTTCCTGCTTGTTCATGTCATGCTTTACCTTCAGTTTTGTCTTCTGTAGGTGAAATGCATGCTTGACTGGAGTGAGGTCAGGAGACCATTTTGGCCATTTTAGAACATTCCACCTATATGCCTTAAAACTTGGGGTGCTTTTTCAGAATGCTTGAAGTCATTGTCCATCTGTACTGTGAAGCGCTGTCCAATGAGTTTTGACACATTTGCATGAATGTGAGCAGATAACATAACCCTATAGAATTGATCCTGCTGCTTTTATCAGCAGTCACAACATATATAAACGGAACCAGGTCCATTGGCAGCCATACAAGCCCACACCATAACACTACCTCCACTATGCTTTACAGATGAGGTTGTTTGCTTTGGATAATGAGCAGTTCCTTCTCTTCTCCATAATCTTCCCATCATTGTGGTCTAATTTGTCCATCAGACATTGCTCCAGAACTGTATGGACTGTTTTGGATTTTTCTGGCAAACTCATTGGTATGCTGCAAACTTTGAAGCATACCAATGGTTTATATCTTTATCTACCTTATTCTTGAAAGGCTTTTTCTTCACCAGGAAACAAATTCTTCTGTCATCCATCACAGTTGTTTTACCCCACCCTACAGTTACTTTCACTTTGTACAGCATATAAGCTGCTCACCAGAGATGAACTGCAGCAGAGCTGTGGCATCTACATCATCATTACTTAGGCTTCTGGAAACAGCTAATACCCCTGTCTACTGAGGTAAGGAAATTTCAGAGCGCTTATGGAATAGAAACTTACTGGAAGGAGAAAAAAGAGACAGCAGCAGAAGGAGATGTTTTGGTAGTTTCTAACTTACAAAAACAAAAATAATCTTCTGAACAAAAGGAAGAAATGCTTTCAGACAGAAAAGAATCCTTTTCATAATGACTTGTCGTTTGGCTGCTAAAAGGTAAGCCCCAAACTGCAGTGTCGGAATAGAAAGTAGGTCTATTTAAAAATGGAATTTTAATTCCCTGCAACATTAAACGATTTCATATGATGGTACATGTTGCTAATATAAAATTTTATTTCATTGATAAATTTGTTTTTTATTTTGCCGTTATTAACTAGGCCTTTTTCCCATATGCAAATATGCAATCTCAAACCTGAATCATCAAGTAGTCAGTTTGGAACTGTTAATGTCTTGATCAGATTTTGTTTGTCTATGAACTGCTCTTTTTTTTTACACTTTTTGTTAAAGTAAAGACAAATAAGCAATTAGATTGCCGCCATCTCTTTCATTGATCTTTAAGCTATACAGTATTTGTTGTCCTTTACATTGTGTGTAAATTTCATGATGAATGGACAAAAAGAAATGACCTAAAATGACTTGGAAAAATGTCTGGTTCCGTCGACTTACATTGAAAATAAAGTAGGTTTTTTCCTTCTCCTGTAAAGTTTTGGAGATACAATATGCTTATAAAGCTATGTGTGTGTGTGTATATATATATATATATATATATATATATATATATATATATATATATATATATACACACACATATATACACACAATATATATATATATATATATATATATATATATATATATATATACACTTACTTTGCTATATATTGCTAGATATAACACTTTAGCTGCTCATCAGTCTGGAGCACCTACAGTCATACTATGAAACCATTCTGTTGTAACAGCAAAATGTAACTCGGCATTTGTATGTTTCTCCAAAATGTCTATTAACCTCTCAGCATTAATGATAACTTCACAGATGTGGAAGCTAACCATACCATTGGCACTAACACACCCCTATACCATGACAGTTGCTGGTTTTGAACTTTGTGTTGGTAACAATGAGGAGGTGGACTTGTCAGGTCACAGCACATGTTTACACTTTGCATCAGTCCATCTCAGATGAGTTTTGTCCCAGAGAAGTCATTTTTATAAGTATGGGACATGTGTTCTTTCGATAGCTATTTATTTATGTGGCTGGAATTCAACAAGGGGGACAACTGAGGTGATTAACCAGAAGGTCTTTGCACTACACTGCAAGTACTGAAGATCCTTGCTGTCCAGGCTGCCAGAGATGAAGATCTAGTTGATACTGCCATCATTTTCGAGGCCAATAAGGTGTTGACAAAATGTGATGACACAAGCAAAGGCTTGCACACTACTGATGGAACTGATGTATATCTTAAACCTCAATTTAAATGTCACATGTGCACTTCCGTTACATTAAAAAAGCTGTTTTGTGTGACTTTGTCACAAGAAGAGATGCAGCTCTACAAGATGGTAAGAGTCATCCCTCTGGATTCAAATCCACTGAAATGGTAGAAAAAAAGGAGCATCTGTACCCACATTTGTCCAAACTCTCCAAATGTTATCTTGCTGTACAAGTGTGTGGCAACTGTTCAAAGAATATGAAAAATATGGCAGTTCTCAAGTCTCTTAAACGCACCATGCTATCAAAGTCAATTTCAATATTATAATCAGGCTGTTTGATCATTATACTTTTGTTAACTATGCCAGTATCCTTCCATTACAAGGTTGTCTTGCTATCAAGTACATGAATGGAACTTGCTGTTTGATGTAAAGAGTGCACACTGCAGTTATTACACACTTCTAGCATAGCTCAACTAGTTTGCATTGAAGTCCCTGTAGTTACTGAATAATAAGTCTCAGTATGTAATAAGACAGAAATTTAAGGAGTTAAAGAAGAGCAACAAATGGCAGAAGCTACCAGGATTGGTGTTTTTTTACATGTGAGATAACTTAAATAATAATAATAATAATAATAATAATAATAATAATAAATTGATTGAAAATAAATAAATAAATTGAAAAAAAAATCCAAAAAATAAATAAATTGAAAGTGAAATAATATCATGGATTTAGAGAATTGTGATACCTCTATTGAATTTATTAGTAACTTTACTGCCAATTCCCAATTACTAACAAACTTCCATGCCAGTGTCATACACTGCAATTGCTAAGGACATTTAAAGAGAAATATTGCTAGGAAAAGTATAATTATTATTAACGCTCTTGATGCATTGCATTGGACTCACATACAGACTATATAAATTTAAATGTCATTTAATAAAAGAGGAGAGCTGTCAATGTAACCTGTTTCTATCCGGTTCTTTGCATCTGAAGGAAGTGTTGGCCGGCAGGATGGTATGGGGAATTGGTAGGAAATTAGCAAAATAAGCCATTCTGGCCCAATGCTGGAACTGGAAATGAGCCAAACTGAGCCGAGTCAGGCACTTGTGGGGTACTTAAGGCTGAAACTCGGGCTGAGCCTAGCCATCCCAATTTAGTTGTGGCTTGCTAGACTAGGGCCAAGTCAGTCTGGCCGCACTTCAGCTGTATCTCTGAGCTGAATATTTGTCAGACTCAGCACAGAGATATGGCAGAAGTATATATATGGCTGAAGGTCCGCTTACCAACATTAGGCCAAGTGTTTCTTTTCAGGCATGTGCAATTCAGGCTGCATGTGGGCCGATACAATTTTGTTAGCTGGGATCTTAGCACTAAGATTATTCTTAAGTGGTAAAGCAAGAATCACACTGAGCAATCTCTCTAACAACTGATCTTAACACTAAGATGATTTGGGGAAACTGGGGCCAAGAACAAACACAGTGTAGACCCAACAGGGCATCACATTTTAATAATGCTAAACTTGTTTGTTATCAAAACAAAAAAGAGATAATTTTGCAGTGCTGCTCAAAGAGTATATAGTGGGGATGTACATATATGGGGACCATATGTACAACCCCAATTCAGAATAAGTTGGGGTGGAAAATGCAAATAAAAAAAGAGTTTCAGTGCATAAAGAGCAAGGGCACAAGCCTAAGCTGAATAACTCCTCTCTGATCCCTCAGACGGCACTGCATCAAGAACCATCATTCATCTATAAACGATATAACCACATGGCCTCAGGATTACTGTGGCAAACTTTTGTCAAGCACTACAATACGCAGTTATATCCACAAATGCCATTTAAAAGTGTACTGTGCCAAATAGAAGCCTTATGTTAACCATGCCCTGAAGCATCATTGAATTCTCTGGGATGGGAGGTATCTGGGATGGACAATTACACAGTGGAAACATGTATTTTGGTCAGGTGAATCAGTATTTCAAGGTTTTTTTTTTTTTGTTTTTTTTTTGAAGAAATGGATGCAGTGTGCTCCGGACCAAAGACAAAAAAGACCATCCAGACTGCTACCAGCAATACGTCCAAAAGCCAGGGTCTGTCATGGTGTGGGGTTGTGTCAGTGCCCTTGGCAAAAGTAACTGACACTTCTGTGACCGCACCTTTAATGCTGAAAAGTACTTTGAGGGATGCCCATACATATTTCAGCAAGACAATGCAAAACCACATTCTGCACACATTACAAAGACATTGCTGCAGAGGCAGAGGGTGCAGGTGCTGAACTGACCTGCCTGCAGTCTTGACCTGTCCCCAAAAGAGAATGTGTGTTGCATTTTAAAATGCAAAATGTGACAGCGAGAAGATGGCGTACTGTTGCACACCTTAAAACTTTGATAGCCACATTTAGAAGTACAAGTAGAAAAACTGTCACTACCTTAACAGATGGTGGCTTTCAGATACCTTGACAAAATAGAGTGTTGGTCAAGAGGTCAGTATCAGCTTCTGAACTGAAAATGAGCAGGACGCCAACTAACTCTGCTTTCTCTGTCCCTACTCAGTCTTCTACTCACAAACAGTATGGAACCAGGTTTGCTAATCATTCACATCTGTTTTACAGAGACAAAGATGGGAGGAAGACACTCGGAACCAAGTCCACCTCCTCCTGCTCCTGCTCCTTCACTAGGTAAGTCCCACCTGTTCATACACAGATTGTCTTTGGAAAGAAAAAAAAAAAACATTGCTTCAGGCATTTATCATGCAGGGTCTGATGTCTAACCTACAATTCCAAATTCTTCTGCTAACACTGTTGTATTAATTTTATTACTCAGAACTAAATGCTCCCTGGAGGCCAGTAAACTGGAGGTAAGAACATATTAGCCCTAGTAGATGAAATGATGTCTGAGATAAAATTATTGGTATGTCTCAAAACCTAGTGAGCTCTCTACAGAGACAGCATTTTACATCATAATATGCGCACTCCCCAGAAGGCTGTCTCAATTCTTCAATACCTCAAATATACTGCCTACTGAGGTATCTTCTTTTGGCTGAATATCGAGAGAGCATTGGATGTTTCCTCAGCCGCTAAGGCAATCCCACGATGCAATCTGGTGCAACTTTTGTTTGAAGACGGCGGGCAGAGGCAGTGCGGCAAGCAGCCCAACAAGTGGTGAAATCATCTTCAAATGTAAGTTATTCTGATTTTCTGTGGTATTTTATTTGTTTTCTTGGTGCTTCTCTGTAACTTGCTAGATGGCTAGCTAGCTATTTAGTTCTCTGTGTTAGCATACACAAGTTGTTTCCACTCTTTCAGGGACCAGATCAGCGCCTCATGCAGTCATGTAGGCTCGTATAGAGAGAGAAGCTCTTCACCAGGTAGAAAAACTATGCTTTGTCAGCTAGGACGTAAGTAAGTTAGGGGGTTGGTTCACCAGTTAGATCATGGGTGTCCAATCTTATCCACAAAGGGTGGATGTAGCTGCAGGTTTTCATTGGAAATAAGCAGGAACTCATCTGATTGCCCTTAATCAGGATAAACAATTAATCATAAAAACCTTCAGAAACCTCTGCGGATACAATTGGACACTAATGAGTTAGTCATGCATACTCATTTATAGTATAAAATGTAACATTAGCTAATCATAACTTACAAGTAAGTAGAAGTAATTTGCTTGTGTGGTTAAGCACTTCCCTAATCTGGTTAGAATTTTAGTTGAATAATGTTGGATCTTTTCGTCTCTTTACCTGTTCTCTAAGAACGTTAAAAGCCCTAATTTGATTTTGTTTGTTGATAGGACTATCCTTTGGAATTGGGGCTACAGGAAAAGATGGCACGACCTAAAAAAGAAATACAAGCTTCCAATACAGAGCTTAGGATTAATATTAGATTAGACTGTAATTGAAAGATTTTTGTAATTGATAAGAATTTATCTATTTTAAACCTTAGAGTGCATTTCAAACATAATTTAAATATTAAAAAAATGCTTGAGTATAATTCAGCTAGGCAAAAGAAAGCAAACTGAGGTTAGATTACAGGTTTGCATTTATTTTTAGGAAGTCCAGGAGTGGGACTGACAACCATCACCAAGGATCATGCTGCCTGCTGGTAGAGAGTACTGTGTGAAGGACCCTTGCATCCAGGAAAGCCTATGAAAACATCCAAAAACTTTGCCTGATGATCACATACAACCTGCAGCGACACCGATGGATAGAGCTTCCTGTTTCTGTAACATTGTGCATCAGGTTGTCCTAGAGCTTTAATTCAAACACTGCAGCCATCTATAGCGCCAACTACACATCAGAAAGCTGCATGATTCCCCAGCCTCACAACACATTTCATTGGACACCTTGTGAATGCACAGTGGAACAGCGCATTTAAAATGCAGTAACACAGTAACATCCAGCCCCTTCATTAAGTACACCTCCTTGTATCTACTCTCATTGTCTGGTTTTGCAAATATAGACTGTAGTCCATCTGTTTCTTTGCATACTTTGTTACCCTGTTCTTCAATGGTCAGAACCCCCACAGAGCAGATATTATTTGGATGGTGGATCATTCTCAGCACTGCAGTAACACTGACATTGTGGTTGTGTGTTAGCACTGGGGTCCTGTGGGGGTCCCGACCATTGAAGAACAGGGTAACAAAGTATGCAGAGAAACAGATGGACTACAGTCTGTAATTGTAGAACTACAAAGTGCACCTATATGGTCAGTGGAGCTGATAAAGTGGACAGTGAATGTAGATATAAGGAGGTGGTTTTAATGAAGGGGCTGGTCCATGTGTATGAATATGCAAATTTACTGTAAATGAACTGATTACTAAAATAATTACTGTAATATTGTGTATAACTATAAATAGTTTGATTGCTGTTGAATGACTGTATTTAACTGTAAATGTATTAAGTTGTATAGTTCTGTTTGGTTAATGCAGGTTATCAATAGTTGTGTGTATGTAGATTTTAATTTGATGTATGTATTAATGTGTATGTCCTTTTTTAAAATATTAAAAACAAATAAAACTCGGTGAATAATTAACCTTGTGTGATGTGGAGAAAGGGTTTACTGTTGTTTTTCCCCTCATAGTGCTTAGAGAAAAGTTTATAAATTGTAAATGTTCAATTGATCAGGAGCAGCAAGTAGCACTCAAATTTTTCGAATTTCAGTATCTGCCAATTCTGCTGTTTCACTCAGAGCAAATACAATTAAAATTGCTATAAAAACCCCAAGAGCAGGATCCATGGTGGTAAAATGCTGAGGCGATTCTGTTGGCTGAGGTAAGTAAACGCTGGCCTCGTGCAGTGGGTGGGAACAAGCGGCGATGTCATCGCTGTCGAACTAGAGCGTCTCATTTGTTTGTCTTATAAGGTCAGATGACGGTTAGAACGCGGCCTACTTAGAAAGCTGCCTATGTAGACAGTGGCTACTAAGAGAGCTTACTAGGATTTGGGACACATCTTATGTTTAGTAATTAATTTGAGAGAGAACACTGACTTTTCTTTGTGTGTGTACTCTGTCTGACTCGAATCCTCTGTCTTTTTCAGTGAAAAAGAGGAGATACTGAAAGAACTGAAAGTTTTACACCCAAATGTGGAGCCCCTTAGGATTCTGATGTTTGGACCAGTTGGGGCAGGGAAGTCGTGCTTCATAAACTCTGTCCAGAGGGCCCTCTTAGGCCGTAATGTCATTTGTGCTCTGGAAAACACAACAGGAACTGGAGAAAGCTTCACTACTTCAGTAAGTAATTAGTGATCTCATTGTGTCTTACAGTTTTTTACAGCATTTTTCAGTGCCAAGTTTACTTTTTCAAAACTCTTCAGACCCCCCATGCAGCTCAGAGCAACAGTTCATTTCATGCACAAAATTCTCTACAGCAATAAAATACCATCAAAACATCTTACAACCAGAATACTTTGTCAATCAGTGTATAGTCATCTCAGAAACATTAACAACTGTTGGCACTAAGGTAGATGGTGAAAGTGGAACAGGGCAGTTTCTACTGTTTTTGATGTTTGAATTGGTGTAAAATACTGATCTTGTTTACTTGTTTCAATTAAAGTACTTATTTGGGTTGAATAAAAGCAGTTAAATTGTTACCACATTAGATATTTTTTAGGTTAATTTAATAAACCTATATTTTAACAGTGAAGGAAAAACAACCTCATCACATCAGAAAACACTACAAAACAGAATGGTATATATTTATTACATAGAAATATATGAAGTAATAGGAACTAAAATGAAAAATCAAAGATCAATGCAAAGACAAAAAGTCACAGAGACTCTAAATGCTTCCTTTGCCTGGTCTACATTATTTGGTCACATGTTCTTATGTACATCACACCTAATATTCTCTATTGTTTATACACATACAAATGAGCACTTGCTTATTATATGCTGGACCTATAATACACTGTCCATTATGAGCAAAATAACTCTGGAAGTGACCCCTCTTTATAGATGCTCACCTGGGCTACACTTTAGCTCAGATGGGAATCAGTTGTGATTGGCCTATATACACACAATCAGCAGTTTGTGTCTATAACATAATAATTATTTGGGATTTAATTGTTCTCCAATATAAAATTTGTGATTTAGCAAATTGATATGCAGTTTATTTTCATGTAAGATTCTGGGGAATAGTCTAACTGTCGTAGTTTCCCCTTTCTTCCTGTGTCCGTTTCTTGCTCTGTGTTGTAGCCATGTGCTTTTTAGCCATGCGCTTGTGTTTTGTTTTGGTTCTTGTGCTCCGCCCTTTCCCGCCTTCCCTATTAGTATCCTCACCTGTCTGTAGTCTCTGTCTCCTCCCTCTCCCAGGTGCTCCCCATTTGTTCTAGCCTTTATCAAGCCCTTTGTTTCAGTCAGTGTTTGTCTTGTCTACTCGTCACTTTGTTAGGTGTCATGTTTGGTTTGTATACTGCTAAGTATTTCTTTGTTAAGCTTAGTAGTTTATTATTTTGTGTTCAATGTTTCTACTAGTCTGTTTTGTTTATTAAAGTGTGCTCGCAAGTACATTCAGCCTCCTTGCTCACTACACACATGACACTAGTGTTTGCAAGCATTTGAAATTGAGCTCTAGAAATACTCAGTTCTGTTAAAGGCTGAGATGAGTGAGAAGACAATTAAAGAATGTTGGAAGTTATGATCACTGGATGCTGACTGTATTGAAACAAGGAAACCCTATTCATGGTTTGGTCCCCAATAGAGTGTTTTCTGCTAACTGTATGAAGAGTTTTATAAACTCAGTACTGAAAATACTTTTTAGCATTTGTTTAAAAATTGAAAAACAGTCCTCAGAGCTTCACCTGGTAATTTTATGAATTAAATGAATCTAATTTGTGAAATTCATTGACCTTTTAATCTAACAATGATGTTTTAACTGTGCCAATTTTGGATAGTTGTAATAATTTTTAATAAAACATAGCCATATAATTCACTAAATCTATTTTCAGAAATTTAGAGCAGATTTACTAAGAGAGACACTCTTAGACAACCATAGACATTATTATGAACTGTCTATTGACACTTTGTGCTGGTGGAGCTGACTGGTTTATCGGGTTATCTACTAAGAACTTTCCTGCAAAAGAACACAGGTGCAAGTTCGTCATTAACATATGCTTTTTGTCTATAAGCCTGTTTCCACCAGACAAGATAAAAGTTTATCTTCTTTGTTTTAAAGTTCAAACCTTAACTCAGGCTCATTATGTTAAAATTATCACTTATTTTCTAGTATTTGGACTTTGGACTGAGAATAATGACTAATCAAAAAAACTTCAACATCATGAAAAATTATTTTGAGAAAATAACACATTAATTCATCAGAAATTCCTCAGAAATACTGTTGTTCGTATCACTTTAGTTCTCTATGGAAAGATATGTCGCATCATTATTTCTAATAATTGCCAAGACTGCAATGTTCACATTCAACACTGTGTCCAGAATTGTTGGAGAACAAACACACAACAATGCTGGAGTCTAACCTGAACAAAGGATTTAAATTTTTTGTGGAAGAATTTCTATGATGACATCAGCTAATGTCTACAGAGTGGATAGAGATGGATGGGCAAAAATAACTATAACTAAAAATCTTGCTTAGGCATGTTAGCAAATAAACACACACACATTCCAGGAGTGGTGTGTGCCTCATAGTCATGATCCCTAGCACGACTGTAGATGTTTTCCACAACCACCAGCTCCAGCAATGAACATCTACTCCCTGCCAAGCACTCAACTATCGACAGCTTTTGACGGGGAACCTGAAAACCAATTTTAAAGTGTTACGATGTCAACACAGGTCACATGTTCGCAGATAAAAGACAAGCTTGAAGTTTAATTGAGGTTTTGGTAGTGGTACATAGGGCGTAGTCAGAATAGGCTAGGGACAGAACCAGTGAGCAAGTGAACCAAAACAAACAGGACATCAAGAGAGTAACCAAAAACCAGTCCAAGTTCAAAAACCAAAGACTCTGATCATTTTCAGCAAACAAACCAAAAAGGGCAAAGATAAAAAGAGCAGGTCAGAAACATAGAAAACAGATCATACACAGAAGAGCTTACACAAACAAAGAACGCTTTGTTTGCTACAATTCTCTTTTACTTTCTGTTTAGAAATACATTCATTTTCAGCTGGAGGGATAAGCTGAACTTGGGTGCTGTTCTGAGTGCATTTGGAGACAGTGTGATAATGTAAAATCCCTGTGAGTGCTCTCAGGTCTTTTGGGAATTGTATAATTTTGAGAGTAACCTCTAGGGTTGCATGTAGTGCATCAAAGAATGGCTGAGACATTTCTTCCATGTGCCCACATAGGAATAACAAATAGCAAATGTCCTTGTACTACAAGTACAATAAGTTTGAATACAGTTTGTTTGAATTTGTTTCTAGATCAAAACGCACAAGATGAAGAAGAGTGGAGGTGGACATTATCCTTTTGTTTTCAGTGACATCATGGGACTTGAAATAGATGGAGAAGGGATACAAACTGAAGACATCAACAAAGTTTTAGAGGGACGTGTTCTAGATGGCTACAAAGTAAGTTCACACTCCTGCTCAGTTTATACAAAATGACAACACGCTGAGGAGATATCTGGAAACATCTTGAAATATTTGTTTTTCTGTTTCAGTTTAATCCTCGGGGACCTATAAGTGAGAATGACCCAAAGTACAATCACTACCCAAAGCCAAGTGATAAAATCCACTGTCTTGTGAGCATTCTTCCTGCTGATGCCATCTCAAGAATGGATTACAGTGTGATTGCAAAAATGAAGGCAGTTCGAAAAAGAGCTTCTGAATTGAGTGAGTTGCTTATTTAACATCTTTAATCCTTGAGGTTGATGTGGGATTTGCATGTGAAATTAAAAAGTCATTTTTTTTTATGTGTGAAGAGATTTTAACATTGAGAATGATCTTTAGCTTTCCTTAAAATTCTATATATGTATTACTAAACTTAATTTATCTTCTATATCTTGATTTTGTAGGCATACCACAAGTCATTGTGTTGACGAAAGTGGATAACGCATGTCAGGTGGTCAACAGAGACTTGAGAAAAGTTTACCACAGCAGAAAAATCAAAGAGAAGGTAACCTATATTCAGACACTTTTGTTGGTGCTACTTAATATATTTCTAGTGCACATATCCATTTCAAACATAACACACATAGAGGGGCAGATTTAACAAAACAGGCATTAAATACTCTCAACCAATACTTTGTGTCAATGCTAGTTGGTGAATATAGGGGATTATCTACTAAGATCTTCCATACAAATGAATACAGACAGAGCTTGGTAGTTAACCTGTGGCCAGCACAATACAACAATGTATTGGGCTCACATGCTTTTTGGCTGAGAGCCCCTTGAGTTTCATTTAGGAGAGTTTTTTTTTTCTCTGAATCTGGTAGGCTCACTAGTTTGAAATAATGACTTATTTTCTGAGATTTTGATTCAGTCAATAAGTGAAAAAAAAAGTTCACTCTTTGAAGATGTATGTGATTATTTTGACGAAATACACCGGACGAAAAGTTTTTACCAGCTGTTATTTACTATCAGCCTTATTAAATCATTAAATTCATAATAATAATCACCTCCCAGTGTTTTATACTTTGAGAGGAAATCTCCTAAAAATGCATAATGAGGTAAAAGCACTAAAGAGCAGGTCAGCCCTTTTCCTCTTAGTATTTCACAACAGCTGCTTTCTAATACCAAAATAAAGTTTGCAACAGTGAAGAACTGCCCTTAACACTCATCCTCATCTGCAATGAAACACTGACCTTCTTTATCTCTTCTGTATCTCAAGTCTCATTTTGGTCTAATGCTATTTCTCCATAGGAATTTTAGGAGAATTGCCATTAAGTCTTCTAAGCCACCAAAGTGTGACATTTGAGCAATGTAATTTTCCTATGGGAGAGTGAGGTGTTTCCATAACATTGGATCTTACTAACTAAACAGTGTGTTAATGAGGTTTTTAAGCACTGAACAGTCTCTCTGATTGTGACTTTTCCAAAGCTTCTCATAGCTTATTGTTGTAAATTGTCAGTGTAATAAGATGAAAGGGGCAGAGCTGCTCTTTTGTGCCTTTAACTCATTGCATATGCATTTGTAGGAATTTCCTTCTCAATGCATAAAATACTAGGAGGAGCTTATTATAATGAAGTATCTACTCTGATTAATACATGACTAAGGAATACAAAATTGTGGCTACTTATATGTGTACTATGCCATCAGGTTCTGTAATCATAAAGCAGACTGTGAGGTGGTCTGAGTTTGCTTTGAGGCGTCAGAGTTTATTTGACATGTTGTAATGTACAGTACAGACTTGCAATGTACAGTACAGGGCTAATTCATGTGCAGCTTTCCCTTGACACAATTACTTTATTTCTTCAGGTGGAGGACAGCAGTCATAAACTGGGGATCCCACTGAACAACATCTACCCTGTGAAGTCCTATCATGCAGAGATCACCAAAGATACCAATGTTGATGTTATCATTCTCATGGCACTGAGGGATATTGTCAACTTTGCCAGTGACCATGCGGAGGATGTCTATGAATCGAAAAAAGAATAAGACACCTGTAGATTAAAGGGGAATTACACAGATTTTTAAAGATGTCTACATTTCTTTACGATTTATTGCTTTATTTTTATTTTACCATTATCAGTACACATACAAAATCAGAAAATGTGTATGTTCACTGCTCACTTGGATTGCAAATAAATGGCAATATTTGCACAACCCCTAGTTCCTATCAATACCACTGTGAAGAAATTATAGTCTCTAAGTTTCTTCACAATGCACCTTTGTCATAAATAGAGGAACATAAATTAAGCATTTAAATCATCAGTAGAATTCTTAGAGTACTCTAATACTTGATAGAAGTATCTTTTTAGCCTTCTTACTGGGACTCAAACTTCTTAGTTGAGTCAAAAATTCTCCCAGCTACTGTTTCTAGGTCTGCATCTCAGTTATATGAACAAAACTGAATTTGCATTTTTTAATCAGTTTCCCTACTAGCTGACACTTCTATCACACAGTCTCATATGGCATATTTTCCTCTTGGTTTCCGGATATGGAGAGCTATGGTATTGCTGAGATTCAAACTCACAATCTCCTGATGTTGGGATGGATTTTTAATCAGTTGCAGCACTGTGCTGTACTTTAAAGTTAAAATAACATATTTTATCCAGTGTATAAAACATTTGTAGACACAAAATTGAAAAGTTGCTTCATGTGTTCCCGAGTGGAGCAGCGGACTAAGCCATCGCCCCAACAGGGGGTTGTGAGTTTGAGCCCCAGCGATGCCATAGCCATCCATAAGTTTGTACCCAAGAGGAAAAATGTTTAGCAGGATTGTGTGATGGAAAAAGTTCTGGCTAATGGGCAAGGTAGGTTAAAAAGTGTTCATTTTATTTACCTAACTGAGACGCAGAGCTAAAAAAATCAAAAGAGAACTTTCGACTCAACTAAGAAGTTTGAGTTGGGTGAACACTTATGTCCTTGAGCTGAGTCAACTCAAGAAAAGCCATGTAATCAGTTACTACATCATTTTGAATTGAGCTGACCTCTCATTTTTTTTTACAGTGTAGTGGTTGTTTTTGGAAAGTCTGTGGAAAGTAAGAAGATTCATTCAATGGATATTGCTTCAAGATCAGCAAATCTTTGCAATGCCTTAAGGGTAGAGAAGCTTCTTTAACAAGCATGACTTGTCTGCATGCTAAACTTCATATGCTTGATTTGTTTTGTCCTTTTTTGTAAATGTATTCTAGCTCATTGGTGCATTCTAAACGAAACAAAATAAAGCTCACTGATACAAAATATTGAACTGAATTCTCTTGGCTTGAATATACTGTTCCAGGTTTTTTTTACATGTACATATCACATACATAAATAGTTTTTGAAAGAACCATGCACTGAGTATGAGTATGCAATCAAAACCATTTTTCCTATGAAATTGGTCCAAAGGACTTATTTTGGCAACTTTACTTAATTAGATTGAGTTGTAGTTTTCTGTGAAAGTCTGCATTTCATATTGAAGCCTCATGGAAAAGCTCTAATAAAGTGTATATGTGCTTACATCATACCATCTCTGGTTCCCTAACATAAACATTTCTTAAATGTTCTTGTAACTTCATTGTCAAATTCAAATTATTTATAGAAATATTTAATAAAACTCAATACGCTTAGCAGTCAAACCTTTTGTGTAATACTTTTGTGTAATACTCAAGCAGGTGGAGTCTCTTTTTCAATGTTTTCAAACATCCTGTGGACATAAATTATTACTAAAGATTACTGTCTGCAGGTAAATGTACAATTCGTGGCCAGGAGCCTTCTAATAAAAAGAAACTCAAAGAAGTATTGAATTTAACTGATTAGCATATTATTGTTTCATCCTGTAATAGAACATGATCTAATCTATATCTTCCGCTATAATTGCCCTGCCTTATCTTTACTTTCACTTTCAGGCTGTGCGTATAAAGATTCTGAGCACAGACTCACAGAGACCGAACTGCAATGCTCAAAGCATCACTTCTGGGAACTACCCATACTTCTATGTAGAGAACACAGTACTGAGATAATCATAACTTGAAATAAAAGGTCAGAAACTAAACAGAATATGCTGGTGCAGCTTTTTAGAATCAGTAAAAAGCAGTAAACAGCCTCTTAAATGGCCAGAAACTGTGGGTCCAGGCCTCCATTCCATTCCTCACTAATATAACTTGCTAATATCTTAGCCTGTCTGCATGTAATTTCTGAGTAATAAGCCTATGGAAAAAATAAGCCTGGGACACATAAATGTATAGGTACTTTTTGATTATGGAAGTGATAATAAATCTAATAAATCTTAATTTATACAGCACTTTATTTTAGTTACAAATTTTCAAAGTGCTGAATATATGTAAAACACTTGAAAGATAAAAAAGGCAAAAAAAAGGCATTTGGCTAAATAAAATCATAGGACAAATACAAACAAATATGCTATGAAACAAAGTCAATGTTTTATTTGTTGATGACCCTACACAGATGCACATAATTGCCTAAAATGTCTTTGTATGTTGTAGCATTAACATCACCCTTCACTGGAACTAAGGGGCCCAAATCCTGAAAAAAGCCCCAGCCCATTATCCCTCCTCCACCAAACTCTACTGTTAGCACTATGCATTCTGGTAACCCAGATTCATCCATCAGACTGCCAAATAGTGAAGTGTAATTCATCACTCCAGAGAAGGTCCACATACTTTTTGTTGTACCATATGTTGTACCTATAGGCTGTGATTACTGATTATCACTCTGTGGTGATGCATGCATCAATGTTAGGACAAAGTTAACACATGTGAAATCTTTATAGAAGGTTGATATGATGCCAGAGAGGGCACTCTAGAAGAATTAAGCTTGTAAAACAAGAGCTGACCCAGTAGCTACTTCAGTAATGCTGTGTTGTACAGTTGCACATTCTAGGTATGAACCACGTACACACTTCAAAGTACTAGGTAAAAAAATTGGGTAAAATGATGGCAAGTTCTAAGACAGTTTACCTACATTACACTGAAATGCTGAATGGGTTCTAAGTATTAACTGTGTATGTGTGAGGTAAACAGGTACACATTTATGTAATCAGGTACATAAATATTTGGATATTGGCTAAGGTATTGTTATTTAAGCTGTCTACTACAGCATCTTGTTGAAAGCAAATAATGAAAATAAGTACAGACTTTCAGCTTTAATTTGAGGGAATTTACTTCAGAATTGGGTGAACTGTGTAGGAATGACAACCATTTTCATGCATTGCAACCCTAACCCCATTTTTAGGGGATCAAAAGTTATTAACAAATCGATGTGATCATAAATGAAATTCTCAATTTTAAAATTTGGATGTAAATTCTTTGCAGGTAAAAACTGTCTGAATTATGGAACCCATAGACATCACCAGATGCTGAGTTTCTTCCCTGGTAATGCTCTACTAGGCCTTTCTTCAGTTCGCTGCTGTCCTTAGTTCCTGCTTGTTCTTGAGGGGTTTTACCTTCAGTTTTGCCTGCAGCTAGTGAAATGCATGCTTGATTGAACTGAACTGGTGATTGACTCGGCCATTTCAGAACATTCCACTTAATTACCTTAAAAAGTCTTAGGTTGCTTTCTCACTGTGCTTTAAGTCAGTGTTAAGTCCCAATGGGTTTTGAAGCACCTGGCTGAATCTGAGCAGATAATATAGCCCTAAACACTTAAGAATGCATCCTGCTGCTTTTGTCAGCAGTCACAATGGCAGCCATAAATACCCTCACTACAAAAGTCCCGCCACCATGCTGGAAAGACAAGGTTGTATGCTTTTGATCTTGAGCAATTCCTCCCTTCCCAAGCTGATCTTTAACTTCCTGTTCCTGAGGCTACACCTTGTGACCCTCTGTATTTACTCTGTTTGTCTTCTCTTAGTTGATGAGGGCATTATTGATCTGGCCAACTGTTGTCAGGGGATTTTCCTCACCAGGGAAAAAAAATTCCTCTGTGCTCTACCACAGTTGTTTTCTGTGGTCTTCTGGGACTTTTGTGAGGTCACCAGTGGCCTTATCCAATATGTTTGCTATCTATCTGATGGGCTTTTGAGATTTTGAGTTTAGTTTCCAGCCTAATGATAGCTTGCTTTACTGGCAGTGAAGCTCTTGGATTTCATGTTGAGAGTTAACAGCAACAAATTCCAAATGCAAATGCCACACTTGGCCCTGAGAAGCTGCTTGGGACATTCTTGACCCCAGTCTGATCACATATTTCCACAGTCAGAACTTAGACAATCCCGTTTGTCATCCGAGAGGTTGTCCCAGGAGAAGTGCTTCCAACTCCCTTCCCAGTAGTTGCGGTGGTTGCCATAGGACATCCCCCATCAGCGCTGCAGCAGCTCTGGGTGTGCTCCTGTTCCTGCCTCTGGTCGTGTGAGTGGTGGTCGCCTCGGTCAGCCTCATACCCTGGCCATCCTGGACTCTTTGGGCGTTACTGTCATGCATGCTTCTGACCCTGCTCTTGCTAAAGAATCCTCTGGGACTCCCTGGGAGAACATCTAACAGTCTCACAACCAGCACCAACCAATAACTGTTCTACCACACCTGAGTATTGATGTGTAACACCTGTGTCTGATTATTGCTACCTGTTTAGTTAGTATATGAGCCCAAGCTTTTAGCTTATCTTTTAGCTTATGCTGGCTTTTGAACTGTTTGCTGATAACAAGCTAAATGGTCCTTTTTCTCTTTAGCCTGGAGGAAGCAGCATCCAAGATTTGCAAGAAGAATTTAAAATTTTGATTTGTTGGACCACAGAACACTTTTCCACGTCACCTCAGTCCATCTGAAATCAGCTTGAGCCCAGAGAAGGTGGCAGCATTTCTGGATCCTGTTTACATTTGGCTTATCGAGTTTTAAGTTGCATTTGTGGATGCAGTGACCAACTGTTTTCACTGACAGTGGTTTTCAGAAGTTTTCCTGAGACCATGCAACGTTTTCCACTACAGAATTGTCTCTGTTTTCAATGCAGTGCCACCTGAAGGTTTAAAGATCACAGCCATCCAGTATTGATTTTCGGCCTTGTCTTTTGCATACAGAGATTTCTCCGGATTCTCTGAATCTTTTAATGATATTATGTACCGTAAAGGACAAAATCCCAAAGTTCTTTGTTACTTTACATGGAGAAATGTTATTCTTGTACTGTTACACTATTTATCACAGAGCGATGAACCCCTCCCCAACTTTAGTTCTGAGAGGCTCAGCCTCTCTGTGATTACTGACCTGTTGCCAATTAACCTAGTTAGTTGTGAGATGTGGAGCATTTTTGTTTACCATTGCACAAATTTACCACTCTTTCTTTGTAACTGTCCCAACATCTTTGAAATGTGTTGAAATGTATTTTAAAAAAATAAATAATAAAATTTCTTCAACCAAATTCACAAAATTAAGATCTGGTTTATTACAGACTTGATATGTTAGTGATCATTGAACCAATAAAATAAAATCAAATTCAAGTTGATTCAAGACAAATTGAAATCGCTAGAGCATAGAGAAAGTCAACAACTGCAAGGTCAAAAGCTGTGTGCTCCCAGTCTGTCATGCCCTCTGACTGTTTCTCTTCCTACTCCCAGAGCAGTTCTGGGTCCAAGGTCTGGTGCGCCAGAACCCATGACTCTTCTTTGGGCCCGTAACCTTCCCAGTCCACCAGGTACTGCATGCCCCCAGACCCCGCACGAGTCCAACAACTCTACAGGCTATGTAAGATGTTTACTTTTTGTGGTAAATTCTTTGTATTTACTGTATTATCTTCTCTTTATCACTATGACACAGATATACAACATTTTTCAGTGTGTATTCCATAATGTAATATATATATATATGGTCACGTCTATAATGCTTTATAAGATGTTATAAATGCATTTTTATAAGAAGTACATGGTAATCACAGAAAGTGTGGTATTTGGTAAATTCTTGATAAGAATTAAAGCACTAATGAGTTCAGAAACATGCTCAGAAATAAAAAGTCTAAAGATCTCTACAAACAGCTGCACTGAAAAAAAAGTTTATCTGTCAATGATCAAGAGAAGTCTTCATGAGAGTAAGCAGAGAGGGCTAACCACAAGATGAAACCACTGTCTCAAAAACAACAAGCATCAAAAACAGGAAGACCTGAAGCGTCAAAAACAGCAAGACCTTATTAGTTTACTGGACAAAACATTGGTAGCCTGCAGATTTCTGAAATAAAGTAAATAGACAACTTAAAGGTATGGAGAGTGAAGGGCAACTTAGTAGAGAGCCATCATTGTTATATGCTTCTTCACTGTTTCTAACATAAACCACTAG